ATATTTAATTTTTACAGCCTCTTCGGCCTGTCAATGAAAAGAGCAACGGATCTGGAGGCTACTTTCTGGAGAAGGCTCTGAAGAGCCGTTTCCTGAGCGTGCCTTCCTGAAATACAAATATCTAACATATGCTTAAGTTAATGTACCATATCTTTTGTGAGTAATACAAAATTGATGTAACTGTATAAATGTGTGAATAAAATTTTCATTCCAAAATAGGTGGACTTCCAAAATGTACGGGAACATCTTTGTTACCAGCCTACATGCAGTCCAAACCACCAAATGAACAGCTTTTGAGATTTTACTGACTTGTTACATAGCTAACAACCACATGGTCTCTGCAGTGCCAAAGACAAATAGTTCGTAGGCTTTTGAGTCTGTTATGCCAAAAAAAGAGGATCTCAGCAGGCCAGGGGGGTAGTTCTCTTCTGCTTGAGACACTATTTTCAACTAAATCCAGTGCTAATGCAGGCAGACTACGGGTTCGAGCCACCACACATCCTTCAGAGCAGCAGCATGCGAGTGCTGGAAAATGCTGCCATTTTCTGATTGTTTCTTTGCTTCTTCTCTTTCCTAAAAATTGCAGAGAACTGTTTAACTGTGTCCAGTGGAGTTTTTGGAAGGATTACTTATAAACCTGGCGCAGTCTCTCCGTCATCACCAAGGATTTTGCTGGAGGCCGTGTGAATGGCCGTTGCGGAGCCGCTGGGTGGCATCACAGCATCGTTTTGGGGTTTATGGGTGATTTACTCTGCAGAAATACCAGAAAGATGCCAGCTGCCCAAACAAGGAAAATAAGCAAAAGAGCTGAATTAGATAATTTAGGAGCAAAAATATTAGCTGTGCCATTGTAGTTTTTCTCTTGTGCTTTATATTAATTTAAGTAATGCTTGCTTCTGTCTTTGTTGTTAGTACTTTATACTATTCCATTCATGCAAACCTGATAATGCTGATTAAATCAAATGCAGAATACACTCACCCATGCACATAAACAATGCCAGTGTTAACACTGGAAAAAATACCATGATTCTGTTGCTGAACGTTGCTGTAATGTTTACCCTACAAAGAGAAACTCTTATCAGGCTTCAGATGAAAAGAGACAAAGATGCAGTTGGAAGGCTGTGCTAATTGTTTTGTTTTCTAGTGGACTAGGGATAATATTCTCAACCTATATTTCAACAGAATCTACATGTCTCTGTTTTTCAACATACATCATCTCAATACTTGTATGAGGTTATCCTATCAGTCCTCCTGTTAGGGGAACTAAGATACAGAAAGGCTAATGTGATTTGTACAAGGATGCTTGGGAGGTCCTTATGCAGAGAATTAGATCTAGATATCCTGACTTGTATCTTTGTATGTGGACCGCAAAAAAAAAAAAAGAAAAAAAAAGAATTTGGGGAAGGTTTATATTGATTTTGCCTATTGTGTGATTGCCCCTATGAATTAACGGTACTCTTAAAGCTTCAAGGGTTCTATGTTTTTCAAAGGTGGAGTTTCCATTTGAGAGTAAACCTGTTCTTGGGGGGAAAAAAAAAGTATTCTACAAGATAGTTGGGTTTTTCTGTCCCTTTCTTTCCCCACCCCCCCTTTTAATTTAAATACCCTTTAAAAACTGTCTGTATGGTCTTGTCTTATCTTATGTCTTCCAGAACAGTTTAATTGGGATGATTATCTGAAAGAGACTGAATCAGTAGCTGCCCCTCTGCATTGTTTCAGACAGGTATGCCAGATACTATTTTGTGTGTGTATGTATGCATGTTACAGGGTGATCCTAGAGCAACTCTTACCTTTAGACTGCTTGCAAACTTCCTGTTTGATCTCGTTTGATCTGTAGTTATCAGTAACTTAGAGTTTTGGCAGATGCTGGCTACTGAAGTTTTTCATTCTTGGTTTCCGCCTCAAGCCAAACTTCAAGGGTTTCATTAAAATTGTAGCTTTAGACTCTGTTTTCCTTTAAAAAAAGACTAGTTAATAAAAACAGATTGTCTTATCAGAGTTCACAAATATTTTCTACTTTTTTCAGTAATCTTAGAGGTACCATGGTTTTAGTGAGAATTCAAATTTAGTTGATTGTCAGAGGAGCCTTTCTCCTGCCCCATTTCTGAAAGAGTCCTTTCAATTCTGACTAGCTACAAGATATGTGTGTGTGTAGTAGAGTTTATTCAGCATTTCTTTTCTGGATCTGTCAAATATGTTTGATTTTGTCTCTTTCTAAGCAGAGTGCTTTTTACTAAGGAGTAGCAGATATTGAAGTTAAAGAGAAATATCAAGGGGAATATAGGGGAATACAAAGGAAATACTGGGTTTATAATGAAGGGTGTTTAATGTATTATTTTTATGTTTTACACTGTGCCCTACAAGTTTGATTCCCTGCCACCTGATGGTTTGGTATGTATTTGCAGATGCAGTTTAAACCTACCATCTTGTGTGAGCTAATGACCTGCAGTTATTCAGCCTTCTGGAGGCTGAGTCTACCTCTGCAGGCACTTTTCTCTCTATAGAGGGAGCTGGGGCTGGTATTTTCCCAAGTTGAGGAGTATCTTAGCTGCGCAAAGTTAAATAGGATGAGTTTTGGCCTGTATGCCTTTGCTGTGTTAGGAAGATAGATGCTGAAGGAATTGGATAGTTCAGGTTAATAGAACTGTAATAGGTGTGACAAGTGGTGCGTGTCTAGTGCAATGGATTGGTCACATTCAGAAAGATATCTTCCAGAGTTTGTTGGGAGTCTGATGGTACTGTAAATGACGCTGGCCTCCAGTGGAGACCAAACAAGAAGTGACGAGAACAGAATAGTTTGAGGAGGAGAGGAACCGTCATTCGGTGAATCTGAAGTAGTTGCAGGAATGGAGAATAGGGCAAGAGAAATGCAGGTGGTAGCATTTTCCTTGTACTGGATCTTCAATCTCAGCTTGCTCTTTGCAGGTGAGGATAAAGGATAGAGAGCCCCTCACATGCTGCTTTCAATGAGAGATGGCTGAGAATAGCAGTGTCCATAGCTCTGTTTGAGTGGAGCTTCAGAAATTAACTCTACAGTATGGGTTTTTCACAGCAGATACCAGCTCAAGGTGGAGACCTCAAGCTCTGCTTGGGCAGAGGCAGAGGGCAATAGCCTGTCCCTGGATCATTCTGAGGTTAATGCCATACGCACAGACCATAGACCGCCAGGAGCAGAGTGTACGCTCCCAAGAGATGTACCTGCTGCAGAAAGCTGCTCAGAAGCCTTTCCTTGTGCCTTCCTTGCATCTTCCTTTTCCCTACTAACGCTCAAGAGGTCCAAACTGAACAACCGAGTAACACCTTAAAGAAAGACACTTAAGTGACGTGCATTGACTGGGATAAATAAATCTGAGTAACCTGGGTTGCTTAAGGAGTGTGTGGGTTGGAAAGAAGAGCCGTCATTTCTGTACATATCAAATTTCAAAACAATTTACATATGCAGACTTTCAGTTTTTCTAAGAGTTGACCTTTAAGTGGAAAGGGACCTGCAATGTTAATTAGTGCAGAGCTAGCTCCTCTCACTACATAATGTTTGCAGATTTTAGAAACTAAAGTGCTTGAGCTTTGTGTAGGACCAATTTGACTTTTATTGAGTTACACGGGAATTGTACGTGTCATTATCACTCTGTGTAATGCAAAGAAATACACTGCTGTGGCCAGCCAGAAAACAAATAGCAGAGAGAAGCTTAATTTGACAATTATATCCAGAATTTGTGACCTGTGGGAATTTTACGAAGTTTAAATTTTGTAGTAATTGCAAATGACCTGGGAAGCAATAAATTAAAGCCTCTACCATAAATTAAGATACAGGCACAGACACGTAATGGAAATTGATTAAAGTATTTATCTTAATTTAGAAGGTATTTTATCTGTTGCTCTAAGTTGTTTTTAATTGCTGCTTAAACTTTCGATGCATTCTACATACCTTTCTGTCACCCAGAAACTTTTTTCAAGCAGCTGAAAATTTTAAATAAAAAAGCTCAGTCCCTTGTGGTTTGACAGAGCTTAAAACAAGGCTGTTACTGAGCAGGTTTTGTTATTTTGCTGTAAGGACGGACTGGCATGGAGGAGTTACGTTTTTAGTAGAATGCCTTGAGTTGTTGATATTTAAACAAGCTCACCTTTTCTACAAACAAATAAACAAACTCCCCAATTTCTCGATTTTAGTTGCCTTTTGTCATTGTAGAAGATAACAGCTTGACAACCAGTATCCTGAAATTGAATTGCCCTTTAAATTTAAAAGGCAGCATTGGCAGATGCTACACTCAGCATTCACTGAATATCACTTGTCTGTTTTTTGGGCTTGGACCCCTCCAGGGCTCCTGCTCTTGATCTAGGGTGTGTTGTACATAGTGCACCTGCACACCATAGCAAGTAGAGCAAGATATATTTTAAAAAATTAAATGTAGTGGAAACAAATTATCACTAACACTTCTTGCAGGAGCAGATTTCTTCAGTCTTTTGCTGTGTGCTCAGACAGATAAGTGCACCCTTCCCTGCTTACTTTGGGATCCCTACCTGAGCTGGTCAGGCAGGCAGGAGAAGGGACATAGGAATCTTGTGAGCATGAATGCCCATGGTTTTGGGTTTTTTACCTGCCTCCTGTATTAGGATTCAGATTGTGTTAGTCCGTATGGGATAGCTACTGGATTCAAATGGGGAAGGCTGCCTACGGTTCTTGGCATAGTGTGTTCAAGGGCAGGTTTGTACTGGAAGAGTTGCAGAAAAGGGCTTCCAGGGTAACAGAAGAATAGTCATCCTCTCTTGAGAGAAACGTCAGTGCTTGGCTTATTTAACTTGTTGAAAGAGTATTGAGAAAGGGTCAGGTTGCCCCTTGTAAATAAACCACAGATTTTGTTGTTATTTGCAAAGGTGCAAAACCAATTTAAGTTAAATGATAGTGTTGGCAAAAATTTCGGTTGATAAATTTAGGCTGGAAATGAGGAGACACCTAAAGAGAGTAGTGAGAGCGATTCAATCCCAGTTAGTGTTAATACAAAGTTTTGAACATCGTCAGGTGATGTTAGAGCCTACAGTACCACAGTAGGCAAGTAATCAGGCTGCCATCCAGTCAATCTCTGCCAGTAGTGTGTTGATACATGAGCAAAAAATATTCTTCTCTTTTGTTCATCTTTAGCTTGTGACAAAAAGTTCGGCTCAAGGACCAAGTTGCATTCATTGCTGTCCTGATTGGGCTAAAACAGGACTATTTCTCCTTTCTGAAGCTTCAGAAAGTGCAGAAGAAGTGCAGAAACTTAGAAGAAACTTAACTGAAGGAAAAAAACTACTGAAAGGAGAAATAGTCCTATTTTAGCCAAATCAGGACAGTCACGTTTCTTTTCCCTGTGCTAATTAAACTGGCGTTTCATTGTATGTGTATGAATATATTCAGTTCTCTACAAATACGCACAAGCTGCAATTTTTTGTCTTGGCACAGAAGTTTTATGTGACTTTAGGACTGTCTGTTTTCTTTCTGTAAAATGCAGTTAAGACTAACTCCTTTTTCTGTCTTCTTTCTTCATATTGTAAGCTTTTTTTTTTTCCCCAAAGAAACTTTCTTGCTTTGAGCTTTTGTAGTGCCTAGTGCGGTTACGGTCCCAATTTTGTTTAAATTTCCAGGATACTACTATAATGAGAATAACTTTCTTTTAAATTGAAAGTTAATAAATCTTGTGGGTGGGGGTTTTTTTTGTGGGTTGGTTCGTTTTGGTGTTTTTTGAGTTGAATGTCGTGTTTCCTGATGTCCTTGTTTTCCATTCACTTCAAGTATTAATCACTGCTCCTGCATCTTTATGTTCATCGCTTTTTCAGGTTTCTCTTGTTACCCTTCTTCGTGTGCTTCTGTTTTTAGAAATCGGCCATATTTATGCACTAGGAACATCAAATGTCTGAAATGGTAACTGTTGGTGGGTTATTCAGCTACCTTTTCTGACTTGCAGCTAAACACTCAAAGTTCAACGGCTTCATTATATTTACCATTTGTACAACATGTTTGGATGAATGAAAGCTGTGTATTGAACTGGCTGGTAAATTTAGCAGTACTAACAACAATAAGAAAAAGTCTTTTACCTTTTATTGTAGTCTAGAATTCCACCTACGAATGATTTCAAAGTTGGTATGAAACTGGAAGCCCACGATCCTCGCAATATTACCTCTGTTTGTATAGCTACAGTAATTGGAATCACTGGTGCCAGACTAAGGTTGCGGCTGGATGGAAGTGACAACAAAAATGATTTTTGGAGGCTTGTGGATTCCTCGGACATACAGCCCATTGGGACCTGTGAAAAGAAAGGGGGGATGCTCCAGCCTCCGCTTGGTAAGAAACAAAGCTTCTGAACTAATATGTGTGGAGTATTGCTTTCGTGAAATCGGTTTTACCTTTTTGTCTTGGCAACGGTACTAACATTTCACTGAACTGTTATTCAATTGCAAAAGAGGTAAGCAAGCTAATTCAGGCTAAGTGAATTGTGGCTCTTTCTTCTTTTTGGATTCTTTTGACATAAGAATGAGCAGAATAATTAGGTGTTTTTTTTTTTTTTTTAAATAGTCCCTTAATATTAAATGGTAGTGTCTGACACCTTCCTTAATGATAAAATACAGTGTCATGTGCCTGTTCTATAAATGTTTCCTCCTACACACCCTGTCTTACCAGTGTGTATGGATACAACATTTTCCTGCTTGGTGCTGTGCATGCTTCTTTCGGTAGACCTTCATAAGAACTGTGGAGAGCGGGCTTGCCTCTTTCCTCTTCAGTAAATGGGAGCAGCGCACTAGAAGGCGCTCACTGTTAACCGACCCATGAGATGCTCAGCAGGGCTGCAGGAGGTGTGTCAGTTCAGGACAAGGCTGAGTGTTTTCTTGGGCGCTGAGCAAATTGGTTGTGGTCTGGGAAAGGCAGTGTAGGGTGGGTTATCCGCAGCGTTGAAGCATTCTACTCTGAGGTAGGAAAAAATACCACTCCAGAACTTTAGCAAACTGCAAGCATGTGATTCTAATCTCCTCAAATCAACACGTGTTGGGGGATGTCTGGTCAGTTTGTCATGACAAGTTTGTGAGCACGACGAATGCTCGTAAGCAAGGTATAGCTTTCCTGTGCTTAGAAATAATATGCAGAATTTCTTTGGCCTTCCATGAGCAATATGAATGACAACATGATGTGTGTCCCCAGACTGCGAAATAGTGCTTGGGCTTAGTCTTATTGAGGAAGTTTATTAAATGGGGACCTGTACGAAGGAATTCCTTGCTATATGATGAATAATCAGAGGTAACTTTGACTAACTACTAGGGGTAATAAAGCGTGATATCACCTTTCTTTGCTGTGATTTAGATCTGCATTCTTGTACTATATTGGGTATAGCTTAAACTTCTAGATGTGGAAATCTTTAAAGAAACACATTTTTCACATTGGTCTGAAAATAGTTCTGCTTTTTTAAAAGGAGGAAAAATAATGACCAAAATTTATCTTAACCGCCTCCCCCAAGCCCCCCACAACAGCAACACCTCCTCCCCTGTTATCCTGTTATCTTCTATAATTTTTAAAAGATGCAAGAAATAATGTTCGTAATATAAGAAATGAACTGTAAGCAGAAATTGGTCACTGCTGGTTTCCCATCTATGGTTATGAACCTGGTTTGGTGTCATCAGTAACTTACAGATTTCTCATGAGAGGTTTAGTGAAGATAGGTATGCTTTCTCTCAGTAGCCTCTCAAAAAACTTGTCATCGCAATTTGTTAACAACTTTCAGTTCTTCTCTCTGAAAGATTAAGTGAAAACTATCTTTTCATTACAGTATGAAACTTGATTTTCTTGTAGAGAGGCAGACAGACATAGGAGCAGTTGACACAGCCATTAAGACACTTCCCATAGATTATAATGGTAGACTTTTGTGCTGTTGTACTGCTTTAGAAACACAAGAAAAGCAATACAACCGGGGTGCCAGTCTAGAAAAATAATATTTGGGATAGACAGATACAGTTTGAGCCCAGAAGTGCTTTTTTCCTTCTTTCCTGTGGATATATAGAGGTCTTGAATGAAAGCACTGGACACCTGGGGAAAATACTTTTTTTTTTTTTTAAATGAAGTTACTCAGCTTAACCTCTCTGAAGTTCTTGGTATAACCTCATAGAATAAATACAGTGATACCAATATGAAAGAGGGTTGTAATAGAGAAGAGTATACTTACTCCTTCAGGTACACATATGTACAGTGTTAAATATATGGCTTCAGTTGAGGAGCATAGTGCTTTTTTAAATGTGTTTCTAAACCAGTCTAATGAATAAAACAACTCTTGTTATGTATAATGGGCGCAGTTGATGAATTAAGAAGAGAAGCTTTCACAATCATCGCTAGAAAGGTTGATGCTTTCTCTTCGGATACTGTTTCTTATTCCTGTTTGGTCAGGCTGCTTGTAGTGCGGCACCTAACAAGCAGCTGTTTCCTGGCACCAAGGCATGTAAGTTTACCTGCCCTCCGAACAATTGCTGGTTATTTAGAAAAGAATGTGAGTACCGTTATTTTGTCCCTCTTGCCCTAGATTTTTCTAGAGATAGGCTAAATTCCAGCAATCAAACATCCTAGCATACCTAGATAAATTTTTGAAAGAGCATTTTTGGCAGTTTTACAGCATCCTGTTGCTGGGCAAAGCTGGGAGCTAATTGGGTGTATAATTACCTCCTGTTAAACACTTAAGC